TGGGAGGGGAGCAGAGTCCCGGCGCGGCCGCCAGCCGACCATCCCGGGCCCGCGCTGCTCCTGGGGGAGCTGAGGTGCCAGGTTTCTGTGAAAGCGGACTCGTGTCTCCGAAGGATCGTATTTACCAAAAACAGTTTAGGAAGAAAAGCGCCCATTCCAACCGCTGATTGCACACAGCTGCCCTCAAGTAGCGCGAGTAAGATTGCACGATGTGTTTTATCTTTAGGATACGGTGAAACTTTATATGGATGAACTTCCGTACCCCTTCTTAACTTAAAAAACACACACTGAAATAGGGTAACTTCATTTACGGTTGAGACGGAGCTGCTTGATCCCTTGGGGGTGGGGTTGACCCTCCCCTGCTCTGCAGCCCGAGGTAGTGGTGCGCTTGCACCACTTCCACACGGCAGCCTTGGGTCAGGGTAGGACCTGGTCTCCTCGCTGAGCTGTGGAGGTCCCTGATTGTTTTCTCTGCGTTACTCGCTCTTCTGCTGATATACTTACTTAAACAGATAACACCTGGTCGTCTCCCGATTCTCTTTCCAAAAGATTTAAACTGAATGTCTCTAAAGGTTTCCGAAATGTCTTTCAAGTTTCTTTCAGGCACAGATCATGTGCTATTAACATTTCAGCCCTATGGTCTGAATAAAAAGCGTCAATTGCTAATCTTGTAACGTGCACATACACACTTAAAACCAGATCCTGATATTCTTTAAGATTTTTACATTTTTTAAATGTCGCTTCTTGGCCTTTTGGCTAAAATCAAGTGTATGTAGATTTTTACATTTTAAAAATGTAGAATCAAGATAAGTAAAATTCTAAAAGTGAATCTTTTATTTCATTTTTACCTGCTCAGCTTACAGGAAAGTAAAACTTGTTTCTTGGGTATCAGAGGTTTTGTGATGGATAAATGTCAAAAAAATATGACAAGGTATAACCGAGGAGGTTTTTTTTTACAGTAGCAGGACAAGCTCCTAGTGTGTGCAGAATCCGATTTCAGCAGCTGAACGTGCCGTTTGAGATGCTTTATAATGTGGCCTGTCTGCTTTCCCCATCTCCTCATTTTCTTTCTCCTTTACACACAGGGGCACACACATGGCCTGCTGCAGGCACAGCAGACTGCTTGCAGGTTATCATTTCTATGCCATTATCTGGAGTGAATGAATTTTCTGCTTCTACTTTTCTTGTCCATCTGTTGATTACCCACACATCTATTATTATTTCCCTGTGTCTTTTGCCACAGTTAAACTCTTCTAGTTGTCAGTGTCTCTATAGAGCACATTTTCAGTTTTTCCTTTGGCATTGCTAAAGGTTGAACCCAGGGCCTTACGCGTGTTAGGGCAAATGCTCTACCCCTGAGCTTTGTTTTCATGCCTAGAACGCATTTTTCACCTATATATCTGGTCATGGCACTCTGTACAGTTCTGTGAGTTGTTCGCTATGTGAGGGTCATCTTTAAGCTAAAATCCAATTCACTCAACTTGCCAAGCCTCTGGTGAACTCCTGTACTGGAAGAGGATATGTCCCAAGAGTGGGTGACACTGTCTAAGCCTGACTGTTGTATTCAGCATACATCACCACAGTGATGGAGTAGGAGCTCAGCTAAAGTTACACAAATGGATGAGAGAAAAAAAAAAGGGGGTTGTTTCTAGCAAACTAGGATAAACGAGTTTGGGGACAGATTGTTTTGTGTGTGTATAAGTATGAAGAAATGTGCTCTTAGATGTGTCTGTTCATGTGATGCTTAGACCAGTGTCTTCTCAGTGACAGGGAAGGATCTGGAGTGTGTGTTCCTAGGTGGACATCATCCTCCTCAGGTGATGACCTTTCAAGGCTCTAGGGTTCACACGGCCAGGTGTGATTAGCTGAGACAGATAAGGAGGCAGGAAGCTTGAAAGTAAGGCCATAAAGAGCTTGCACACATATACCTGTGTTAGCACATTGGATTAAAGGGCTACTTTGTATAGAAGAGTTTAAGTCATTTCAAAGTGACATGTCACAGAGAAATTAAGAAAAAGAGATTTTGAGTTTTAAGTTCTCCAGTTAGGTAGATCTTATTTACTTGTTTATTTGTTTATTTCGTGGCCCTGGGCATCGAACCTAGGGTTTTTGCACTGAGCTACATCTCTAACCCTTTTCTATTTTGAGATGGGTTTTGCACAGTTATTAGTCTCTCAGAATGCTGGTATTACATATAAGCATGCACCACCATGCCCAACTGAAGGAAATCATTTAAAGATCACAATCTACACACGAAATTGCAGTTTTGATGTAGGGGCAATTTACAAGCTGAATTGGCAGTAAGATTGTTAAAAATGTGCTAAATTTATATGTAGTTAAAAAATTCTAACAAGTTGTAGGGCAATCTGGAGCTATTCTTTCGAGCTACAATAAATACACATCATCTTACAAATTTATAAAATTGTGATACAGAATTATGTCCTTGGTAGATGTCAAAAGGGCTTGCCAATTATATGGAATCTCTAGCTTTCTTTAACTTTAAAGATAACGTGGACTAATTCTTCCACTTTTGTGGGTAAGGAAACTAAGTACCAGGAACTTATCCAAGGTCATTGAGCTTATGTAGGAGCATAACCTGCATGTCCTAGCTTCCAGTTTATGACTTGTTTATTCAAATACCTCTAGGAGCAGCCTTCTAGATCATTCATCATTGGATTCAGCTGAGAAAACTTGAAGGCCTGGACTCTTGATCTCAGGAATACCACATATTTCCAGCACCAAACATGCAACATTCATTGCCCTATGTGAAGTTCATGAGTGATAAATATTTGCTGAGTGGTGGAATGAACGAACGTGTTGATAGCTCACTTAATGTAACTATAGGGTATAAAACAAATCAAAGTCCTTTAAAATGTATGATAGTCGAATTTGACCTCTGTTTATGTTCCTTAAATGTAATAAAATATTGAATAGATGTTA